TTGATGGTATTAATGATTTTCTATATATATAAAAAAATGTAAATAGAGTCAAATTTTAATAATTTAATAATGTAACTACAAAAAAAAAAAAAATACAATTCGGGCAACTCGGGCAATTCTAGTTTAACTCGGGTCGGGCTTGGGCAGGCAATCTCAGGTTACAATTCGGGCTTAGGCGGGTCTGGGCAAATCTCAGAACAATTTGGACTAGGCTTGAACAACCTCCAAACCCAACCAAACCCGCCCGAGTTGCACCCCTAACATTACCACAACCATTGTAACACCCACCTTCTTAATTAACTACTAATTATGTGAATTGCCTTAATTATGTGTTATATGCTATGTAGTTGCTATGTTATGTACTATGTGCTAATTGTATTTTATTATACGCAATAGATAAAATAGGTTAAGAAATGAACTTGTTTGAATCATGAATTAAGAGGCTAAAATTAAATGTTGGACTAGGTGGTTAGAGTCTAATTCACCTTATTAAGATTAAGTTTGGGTTGAGTTAAATTAGATTATAATGAGGATTGACTTGATTTAAGTGAATTTGATTTAAAGTAATTCAAGCTTAAAATTGATTAAGGAAAAAAAAGAGAGACATTTGGATATATTTGGAACTCAACAATAGATAAGAGAGAAAGAGAGACCAAATTTGAGAGAGAGAAAAAGAGAGAGAAAAGAGAGAATTCTAGATACTTAGGAGAACAAGAGCAAGTAGAAGGAAAAGAGAAGAAAGAAGGGAGAAGAAGGGAAAATTGAACATATTTTCACCAAATCAACCATTGTAGGTAAGAATTCTTCTCTAATTTCTTGAATCTAAGTTATTTTATCCTTGAACTCATAGAATCTAAGTGGAAAATTAGGGATTGGGTGGTGTAGTTCATGTCAAGAACCCTAAAGAGAGAAATTGAAAGAAATAGTTGAAAATTTTGTTATACATAGCATCATTCTTGCTCAATCACTTGTCCTTGCATAAGGTTTGAGTTGAGGAAGAAATTCTCATGGATTTTTGAACATGGAACTCTCTATGTATGATTTTGTGATTTTTCTCTTAATTTCAAGCTTTTGACCTTGTGGGTGGAAAAATGAGCTTTGTTTTGAAGTCATGGTTTAATTTGAAGTTAGAATTTGGTTATTCAACATGTTTTTGTGAGTTTTGGGTTTTGATTTGCATGTATTTAAAGTTTGATTTGCAAAAATAGAGCTTCAACTTTGAAGCAGATTTTTGGACTGGAACTTCACCCAGACCGCTCGAGCGGCCTAGGCCACCACACAAGCGGCCAAGTCTTTTTCTGTTCAATTTGCATTCTGTTTGAGGACCGCACGAGCGGCAATGGCCACTGCACGAGTAGCCGGCCCTCCTTTGCTCAACTTTGCATTCTGCTTGCTAGAGCGGCCAAGGCCACTTCACGAACGGCCAGGCCACCGCACGTGCGGTCAGCAAGGCCAGCTTAGTTTTGTTTACTTTTTATTTTCTCTGATTTCTGGGCCTTCGGTTGCATGATTTTCAACTATTTTCATATGCATATGCATTGCATGAACACAAGAGAAAATGAAAGAATGAATGGGAACAAGTTAGAGAATAAGTAGCAGATATGTTATGAACTAATTGAACAGAAGAATTGTATTGTGGACCATTATGCTTGAATGTGTTTGTGTAGGTCAGTCGCCACGTCCTAGCCACGTGTTTTGCAGACCCAACTATGAGTAATAACCTTGTAAAGATATGTTCTATTATAAGTATTTTCCGACTTAAACTATACTTCGTTTTTGAAATGATATTCTCTGCTTAAGTGAATGATTGTCCTATTTTCTGAACTGTATTCATGGCATCCTTAGCATTTGTTTACTATTATTGTTACAGAGATCTCTGTCAGTTCCAATTCTTGGAACTTCTGTTTACTGCATTGATGGCATGTCTATCAATTCTGACTGTTCGGTCTTCATGATCGTCTATACTGTTCTGCTATTGGATATACCATGTATGACTATCTATGCAAATGATTCTTATTTTTTGTTTACTGTTATAATTAATCGATTTGTATTACAGTAAGGACATCATTCCTAACATCTTTACATTGTTGTTATTCACTAAGCTCTAACTCATTGTTTTATATATGTATGTACGTAGGTGATCAAGGGCAAGAAGGGACTTAGTGGCGTCGACCTAGCCTCAATTTTGTCAAACTAACTTTTGTGCCTACTGCGAGGTTCCTACTGGTCTAGTGTCAAGGCTTATGAGTGGTTCAGGATTCACCCCTTTTGAGATTAATTCTAATGATATGAACGTTTTCTTAACTTTTGCGCATCTTTTGTTAATGGATTCGGTTTTGTTATGTTTGAGATGCAAGCTTGTCATAGATTGTTGTACATGTGTATATATAAAAGTTTATTTTGTTCCATTTAAGTCTTCACAGCTCATTGAACATTTTATTTTCTTATTTATTAGCTTCCGCCAGTCCCGTTACTGTATTACTGTTAAGCAGGCCTTAGTAATCACAGATTACTAGTCAGTTACAACACTAAACCTATAAGGGTAGGATTGGGTCGTGACAACCATTACCGACCATTATCTGCCATCATCGACCATTGCTAGCCACCGTTGATCACCTTGACCGATGACAATTTTTCAGCGACCACTGTTGGTTGACGAAAATTTTCCAGCAAGATTCTCCGGTGACGATAAAATTTTACACTATTAGACAATAAAATTTTACTTTATTAATTTAGACAGTAAAATTTTACTGTTTACTTTAAACATATAAATAATGAATTTTGCCATTATTATCACTAACCATCACACCTACTATAATTATTAACATTGTTCATATAGATATTAAATGAGAAATCAGTCAAAACATTGAATTAATAACCTTAAGTAGAGTAAAATTTTACTATTTCACTATTGAATATACTAAAATAATATTTTCATTTGAGATCTCAAAATCAATATTTAAACTAATAATGACAAGAAAAAATGCACTAAAATGAAAATATATACATATAGAGAGAAAGAGAAAAAGATAGAGAAATAAAGAGATAGAGAGAGTACATATATTGCCTCAAATCTAGTTCAAATCAGAGTAAAATTTTACTGTCTTAAAAACACAGAGCATCATGAGGACACAAAGAGAAAGAAAGGGAGAGAATATAGATCTAAGATGATAGATCTCAGATTTGAGGTCATCAACCTCAAATCTAAGGTCTTGAAGGCGAAGGATGATGATGGTGGTTGCTGGTAGTATAGTGGCATCGAATGGCGTTGATAGTTGAGACAGTGGTGGTGGTGGTGGTGACAAATGGCGTCGGTGGTTGAGACGATGAAAGTAGTGGTCATGGTAGTGGTGGTAGTGGAGACGGTAGTGGTGGTGGAAAGAGCTCGTAGAAAGAGAAAGAGCTGAGAAAGATAAAGATAAAGAGAGTTAAGACAAACTGAGGATAGAGAGAGTGTATGGGTGTGAAGAGATAAATTTGTCCAACAAAATATAAATCTAAAAATTATTGTCCTTCTTACTATATATATTTTTTTATTTTATTTTGGAGGGGTTTATGAGCTAAAAAATTATAATTTGTCATTTTTAAGAAAAACGGACTCTAAAAAGGAGTTATGGCAAAAAATTCCTTTAAATAAAATATTAACGAATCAAATGATTAAAATAAGAATAATAATTGGCCTATAGACCCAAACTGAAATGTCTAGTTCTTATGGAGTGAGGACAAGCTACTTTATTCTGAGAACTTGACCACATAACCCAACAGCAAGTTCAGATTCATGAAGATTTTAAACTCAAAACCAAAGTAAATTCCAATACTAATGTATAAAGTAATGGCTTTCATGGGTGGTTCGTTGGGTAGGCCATAATTTCAGCTCAAATCAAAAACCATCTGTACACAAGAAAGCTGTAGCCTCGTTATCTTTAATGTGCACATGGGGGAGTCTCCCCTCCAACAATGATATAGCAACAACCCCTTGTGAAACTGTCTTCGAGTGACGTGGCACTTCCTCCATGGGACTCAATGAACATATTATAGGTCCCCCTCAGAGTGAGAGTGAGCCGGTTTGGATAGGTTCATGTCAAACTTCCACTATATAATAAAAAGACAAAAAAATTAAAAATTAATTTTCCCAATCTCAAATGTAAATCAGTAAAAAGCCTCTTTAGTGCACAAACAGTATGAACCATTGAATATAAACAAATTAATCATGAGCCTCCTACAAATAATATTATTGATTCCACAAAATGAACCAATACTATGCATTTTTAATCCTCTCCCATACCATAAGAATAACAATCTTTCCATTTTGGAGAAATCACAAGAAAGAATATTGAGAAGAGTATACTATACAATGACAATTGGAACCACTCTACAAGCAACCCTTGCACTTGAGGAAATAAAAATAAAAATAAAAATAAATAAAATAAAATAAAATCTCAGTATGACAGATGTTATGAGCATAACCTTCGTATATTGTAAGTCTTGGTTCACATCAGCGGTCATATCAGACAACCGTCCCACCTGAAATGCTTTCCTAGCATTAGAGTTGGCCTACTGGCGCTGTCTTCTTCCATGGTGTACCTGAAACACGCATTTTGGATAAATGATGAAGAGCAAGAACAATGAAAGTCATGTATGAATAGGTTGGAATAGCTCGGTTTCATTCTTCCATCGATCACTTCATTGTCCCTTATTTAGGAAGCAAGTAATATCAAGATGAACAATCTCAGTGTCATTTGATTATGTCCTATGAGGACTTATATAAAAAAAAAAAAAAGTCCTTTCAGTAATATATTTCTTCCTTGAATAAGTTGTAGGCCTGTTTTGGTTAACTTGCTAAAGTGAAAATACTTTTCCAAGATAAAATAGTAAAGATCAAATCCTTTCAGAATGCAAATGAAAAAAGCATTTAGAAACCGTTTTTGAGTGCATAAAACCACAAAAGAAACAAAATGAAAAGGCTTGGCTTGGTTTAGTTTTGAAAATCTATTTTTTGGTTTTTTTTTTTTTTTTTAGATCTAAAACTAGCTTGGCAAAAGAAACACCAAACTAATTTGAAAATGACATGAAAATGATTTTTTTTTTTTTTTTGAAATTTTCATTTTATTTCGCCAGACTAGTTTTTAATTTTTTTGATTTTTTTTTTTTTCACAAAAGAGATTTGAAACTAAACAAAAAAACTGCAGGACCGAACTCCAAAATGAAGTGAAATGCAGATACAAATCAAAGCTGGCAAAGCAAAAACGGGGAGAAAAATAAAAGAAAGAAGGATCAGTTACAGAGTTATTTTAGCAAGGAATATTTCCATCAGATTGCACCAGAGGAAAGCATCAGGAAAGAAAAGAAAAAAATACATCAAGAGTGATACAGAACAATAAGCAAACAAGCAAATATTTTGTGATCCTTAAAAGCATATGAATTAAATTACCCACAAATGCACCATCTAAATACTCTTCGTGAAAGTACTGTCAAGAAACAACAAAAAAAAAGGCAACCGTCTAATTACTCTTTACAAAATTACTGTAACAAAGAAACAAATACTTTCATTTTTTATAGCAAATTTTATCACACACACACGTTTTGGTATTGAAATAATGTCTTCACCCTGTGTATGATGCTAAAGTGAAAAGCAAGTCCACCATCACTGTTGGCGGCGGCGGCGGTGGTGTAGGAGTCATGACAAGTTTAGTGATGTTGGCCTTAAAGCTAGGCCACAGCTATTATGGGCATGGTGCAAAGTTGCTGCTGTGACTGCGATGACTTGGATACCCAGTTTAGTACACTACAAATTTATGCAATAGTTTAATAAAACACAATTGAACACACAATTACATATAACACACCTAATATGGAAAATATGTAATTAATTAAGATCATTATCCTCAGAATTCCCAGCAATTCTTTTTAATATCTCGTAGTGACATTTTTGATACCACAACATCGTCAAACATTCCATGACAAACTGTGATATCAGATAAGATGGACAGATCAGGAGATTATGGGCGCCCGCAACACACACACAAAATAAATTGTATTGCATTGCAAAATCGTATTGATCATTGTGAAGACTGATACTTTAAGCAACATGAACAACATTGATGTTTTGTTTTATTTACCTTATGAGTTCATTCAGTTGTTCACATTTTTAGAATTTTTTCATATTTTTTTTATAATTCTTTAGCATTTTGTATAACATAGCTTTGCGTTTTGCCAATACTGCAATGTGACACAACGAACGAATCAAATTTGAGGTTCCCTCGTTAGCAACCAATCCCATGACTTTGAACCACAATTGTGGGATTTGAGGTAGAGAATTTCCACCAATAGGAGAGGCCATCATACAATGGTCCATGAGTCTAGGGTCCTGAGTCAGTTGCTATGGTTTCCCTTAGTGATCTTGATAGATAGAGCATTGTCTAGTTAGATAGAAATATGGGCATGCCCATATGTGTCCTACAGATTTCGGTGTTGTGAATGTTTATACTCATAGAAGGTAGGGACCCGTAATTTTTTGTCCTTCATATTTCGGGTAAGTACTAGAAACATTTTAAAATAGCGTGGCCAAAAATTGAAGATTTATCGGAAGACTCAAGAACATTAGCAAGAAAAGAATTATAAAAGCATTAAGAAGCATATATAACCTGAGATTTGTTGTTGTTGTTGTTGTTGTTTTTATTTTTTATTTTTTATGTATATATATATGTTTATGCATCATGCATGGATCCAAATTCCAAGGCAGCTCACACAATCGATTTCACAATGACCCACAATACAGATGTCCTTTTATGCTTTAAAAATGCTCATCATCCAAATTTCGCCCCTTCAGGCTTTTTGAATACCCACAACTTTTTCAATTCCTTCTAAAAGGGATATGATGTCTTGGGTTAAATTAACTACGCAGAGAAGCTCAGGGCTATATGTCCAATTGGAAGAAATGGAAGAAACCTTTTGCAACTATGATTCAATTAGTCAGCCACGCAGCAGACCATATATATCAATCTTAATTAATCAACACACCAAAATGAGCAAAAAAAAACCCCGTATAAATCATTATTGAAGTGGATATAATGCAATGGAGCCAAATAAATACAAAAGATTACATGCTAATCACACATTAGTAAAACAAGAAACAGAAAAAGGTCTAAAACAAACCTCAGACATAAGAAAGCAGCAAGTTGAAGTAGATAATCATATACATTGAAAGAGAGAACAGTGCGAATACGTGCTGCCAAAAGAGGAGCGCTGAAGCTTCGCTCACAGCATAACCTCTCAAGCTAGCAATTGCTCCAATCAAGATGGCGCTTGGTGTAGTGTACTGCAACAAAAGCACAAACCTGTACATATGGTCTCCCGGGATCAAAATATTCATTCTATCCGCAAACCAAACAACCCCAATTCCAGCCAACGGAAGTACCAAAAGCCTTGCAACAATGATGCCAATCGTAGTCCTAATTCCAAGTTTAGAATCATTTGGACCCTCGGCAAGCATTCCTCCAAGGATTAGCATTACTGCAGGGACCATTGCACCAGCCAAGATTTCTAAACTGTCCAAAACAAATGAAAGTGGAGCATCATCACCATAAACAAAAGCTTTGAGTGGAGGAACCATCCCAATGATAAAGGCCAAGAGAGTAGCAATTGTTGGAGGTTGAAGGATGTGTCGAATTGGTGTTCGCTCGGCAACGATTCTAATTCTTCTAACCATCCGTGGCTCTGCCAAACACCTAATGGATCTGGGACTCCTTGTACCTCCTCCGTCTTCTAGTATATCGGGATCTGGAATAGAAGTTTGTGAAATGCTAGTAAAGATCCTTGCTATAAAGGGTGTCTTGCAATGTTCGGTTTCTTTTTCTTCCATCCCAGGCCACTCGGCTTCCACAAGAAGTGACCTACTGAGATCATTATTAACTGGCAATTGTTCTTCAATCTCACGATTCTCAACCCCTTCCTCAACCACCTCGTAATACTGTAACGGAGGTTCCATCATATGGTACACAAGGGTATAAACAAGGAGTGCAGCAACCCATTGGGCAAAAGATACATAAGCCACACCGGTCCTATAGCACTCTGGACCAAACGGGTTATCTGCACTATGACACACTGACCCAACAACAGCAAGGGGCAGATTTCCCGTGTTTCCAAAAGCCGTCACAATTACAGTGAACCGAACAAATTCAGGAGGGGGCTGGCATATTCTTGCCACCAAGTAACCCAACACACAACCAATGGCAGTACTGATAAGTACATTTACGGGGATGAACCACCAGAGAGCAAAATTCTTGAGAGTAATGGATTCCCCAAGGTGAACAAAGATTGTGCAAGGCAAGAATAGGGCAAAAACAAGCTTGCTAAGAAGCTTGAAAGTAGCTCTGGGGATGATTTGGGTTTTTGGGTGGGCAAGCACTAGGCCTATGATAGTGAGACAGAGGAGTTTCAACAATGGAAGAACAGCACTTAGAATGTTTGCCCCTCCAGATTTTAAGTCTGCTTCACGAGTTTGATCAAAGAGGAATCCCATTATCTAATTGTTTTGCAAGATTCAAAAAAAAACACAAGGAAGCTTCCAAGCAATTTCACAGACCTCCTATGCAACAAAAATCAGATTACAAAATGGGTTTCATAGATTTTCAACTTTCCAACATGGGTTTCATGGATTATCACAATATCATAAACAAAAACAACATAATCAATCAAACACAAGGAAAATTCTCCAAAATTTCACGAACCCAAATAGAATCCAAGAAATCCCCAGAATTGGGATTCAAATACCCAATATAGAAATCACCAAAACAATGGGTTTTTTTCACAAAATTTCACGTATATGAATTGAAAGCAAAAATCAATTATTAGGTGACTCAGATTCTTAGAATTTACAATTCCCACACATACTTCCTGGAACAAGAACGACTGTGTTTCTAGAGAGAGAGACTTACAAAACCAGAGAAATCTGGGGAGGCTACGAAACTTGGGAGAAGGAAGAGGGTGGCGAGTTGTTTTTTGCAGATGATTAGTCACATCTCTTTTCTTTTTCTTTTAAATAAAAGATATTATAATTACCCAATCATATCAAATTTCCTAATATTCTTTTGGTTTGGAAGATGATTCCGTCACGATCAAATGCAATTGGGAGAATTGGTTTTACAAAACAATAATGATCATTACTTTGGGAGTTTTAAAAATAACATTAATAACATGCTACTCAATAAAAAAAAGAAAAAAAATATAACATTAAGGTTAAAGGAAAATGTTAGAAATCCTAAATAATCTACCAAATGTTTACCAAATCTCTCACATGGGTGTGGGACTCACACAAACTCACATGTGTGTGGGTCCCACACCCATGAGAGATTTGGTAAAACATTTGTGTGTGTGGATCCCACACCTATATGAGAGATTTGATAAAACATTTAGTAGATTATTTGGGACCTTTAGCATTACTCGAGGTTAAAATATCAAATCATTCATGGTGGGGCCTACTGCCACATTATTAGTAGTAACACTAATTAGTGCTCCCACTCATTTTCTCTTAGAAAAAATATTTATCAAGATATTTAAAAAAAATTATAATTATAATTATAATTATTTATAAAATTTATTATTTATGTATAATTTTTTTAAAACTTTATACTGGATTGTCATTTTTTCAATTCAATTTGGACAATAATTGACAACACAACCAGAGAGGTCGGGCTGCTTGAGAAATTAGAAATAACCCATCCTTTTTTGGTTTTTTTAATTTTTATTGACTTTTTTCACAAAATTATGTTTATTTTTTTATTTTTTTATGATCCGTTTTATTTTGTGTCAACAAATCTATATAAAAAATAAAAAAATATAAAGAATTTTTAAAAATTGAAAAACTTAAAATAAATAAATAAATTCATTGTTTTTTACTTATTTTTGTATTTTTTGAACTTTTTTAGCTTGTATCATCAAATAAAATCTAAAATCTAAACTTAAATTTTTTTTTTTATAAAAAAGTTCACTAAAAATGAAAATAAATATTAAAAAGAAGGGAGAATTACAATTCGGTGGGTTTTTTATTTTTATTTTTATTTTAACAGATGCATGAAAAAGTTTAGAAATTTAATTATTAACGTTTATAAAATTTACCACTAATGGGTGATTTAGGGATTGTTTGGGATGATTTAAATAAGTATACTTTTTGACTTTTCATTAAACGATATGAAATGTGGTAAAGAAATAATATGACTCAAACAAAATTTGATGTAACCTAAATAAAATAAAAAGATAAAAAGATGTGTTATTCTAACACATCCCAAACATGGCCTTACTTTCTAAATCTATATTAAATTGTGTTTTCTCCTTTTAAAAAACCACTAAGGTTGCGTTTGATTTAAGAATTTGGGAACGTATTTAGAAAGGAAAAATAAAAGTAAAATGTGAATAAATATAATTTACCTAATTTCACACTCATTTTACTAGGGGGTGCAATTTGGGCGGGCTCAACCCAAGCAACTCGAGTCCAGCCCCATTTTTTTAGGATTTGGAGAATATTTTTGAATTTGATACGTGTTTGGATAAAAATTCATAAATCCGAATCAAATTTAGACAAACCTAGGTAAAGACGTCAAATAACCTGAGCAACCCAAAACCCGAATTACATATATAAATATATAAAATATTAAATATACATATGCATTATTAGCCATTTGATGATATGAAAGTAATTTAGATCATTAGATCATATTAAATATATATTATATATACAAGTAACACAATACAAAATCTTTTTTTTTTTCACTCATAAATTGTAAAGATTATCGTAATGGTATCTCTCTTATATTATATAATTTTTTTGTTTTGATGTTATTATGATTTTATAAAAAAAAGAAAAAGAAAATAGAATCTAATTTAACAAATTAATTAACTTAAACCTCGTTTAGCAAGTGACTTTTTTAGTCAAAAAGTTAAAAAGTCACTAAAAAAATTAAAAAGCCAACAACGTATACCAAAAAGTCAAAGATTTCATTTTCTCTCTACTTTTTGCACACCTTTTTGTAAAAAATCAAAAAATCATCCCAAACATACTAGTAATTTTTTTTTACCTTATATTTCAACCAAAAAGTCAAAATGTTACTAAAAAAACATATTCTCAAACGAGACCAAACGAGGCCATAATTGAACCAAAAAAATGAAGGAAAAAAATTGAAAATTATCTATAATTCGAGTAACTCTGGTTGGCCTTGGGCAAACAATCTCAGGTTACAATTCAGGCTTGAACGGGCTTAGATAGCTCTTACCACAACCTGAATTGGGTTTGGATAACTCATCAATCCGTCCGAACGTGTCTGAGTTATACCCCTATCTTTTCTCTTTTTGTTTTTAAATCCCTTCCCAAATTAATCTAAAGCAAACCTTAGATTAATTTGACAATTTATAATAATTGTTTTTTTTTTTTTTTTTTTTTTTTTTTTTTTTTTGACTAAAACGTGTTATTCCCAAGCGAGTCCTTAATGATTGGGTTTTTTGTACATGTAAAACATCATGGTTGATGGTCGTCTGTAATTGTTTGTCACTATAGTCGTTTTGTTTTTGCTCATTCTGAGTTAGCTTGGGATGTGGGTTAATTTTTTGATTATTTTATTTTGGGATTAAAAAGTTTCATTTGGAATAATTTTTTGACATTTTTAATTTTATGAAAAAAAATAATAATAATTATGAATTAAATGTGACATTTTATTTTATTTAATTAAAATAACCTATTTTATTATATGAGTATTTAACCCAAATACTCATCTCAAATGGAGCCTCTAGAAGTCGTCAACGGTACCAGAAGTACAATAGCCCATGACCCATGTGACTATTGAGGTGCACGGGCTCGGTTTGGGAATAATTGTTGTAGTCTGATTTTTTTTTTTTGGATTAATTTAGCCTAATTAAATTAATTTTATTTGAGAATAATTTTTTGATTTTTTTATGAAAAAAAAATAATTATAATTTAGATGTAATATTTTATTTTATTGACTTATTTAGGGATTGTTTAGAAAGTGTTAAATTAATATACTTTTTGATAGAGGTAATCATGAATCATTCAATTCGCCCAATCTAACTGAACTGATCCAACCAGACGGATGTGTGTCTTTCGATAGACAGATGATGAAATATTTTAAAATTTACGGATACAATTCGGATAACAGATCAACCATTTTGCACCCACATGAATCCGATCCGCCTGTAGATGAAGTTAAAAGAAAAAAATAAAATTGCTAACAAATAACAACATAGAATAGAAATAATAAATATATGTTTTTGTGAGAATAAAAAACAATACCTTAAATATGCATGCATGGTGTCATGGTTTATTATACACAAATAATACATATTTTTTTAGATTATTAGTTATTAGAGATTGTAAAAGTTAAGAATTATTATTCAAAAAAATATCCAAATTTTATAAAGTTCAAACCCCCAAATCGATCTCATCCATCCATCAACTTGCACGGCCCGCTTAATCTATATATGTCAAACTAGTGGACGGATGCGGATTGACGTTTTTCAATCCTGCTAATTTTGGATGGATAGCAGATGGGATGTCACCCGACTCAACTCGATCCACGATCACCCTTGCTTTTTGTCTTTTTACGAAAAAATATAAAATATAAGTTAAGTTTAAAATGATGTGATAAAGAAGGGATGCGACTCTAATAAAATGATTATAACTCAAATAAAATAATTTGTTAAAATAACATTGAGCACATGTCAAACAAAATCTAGTCTATTTTATTTTTTTTGTATTTTTTAAAATTCCAACTTAAACCCAACCTAATAATCATTTTGATTTTTTTTTTGATGGCCCAAGCTCTAGTGTAGGTGCTGCGGCGTCCCGTGTTGCAGGCTATTTGGTAGGGGTGTAACTCGGGCGGGCTCAACCCGAGCAACCCGAGCCCAGCCCGAGTTTTTTCCAAGCTCTAGTGTAGGTGCTGCGGCGTCCCGTGTTGCAGGCTATTTGGTGTGCTCCAGTGAGGGATATTTGCAAATTTAATTTTGATGGTGCTATCTCAGTGGAGCATGGCGCGTCCGGTCTTGGTGGGGTGTCTCGCGATAGGCTCCGAAGGATGATGGCTTCCCTCTCTGACCAGACTTGTTTGATCACGATGTTGATTTTTTGTAAGCTACTGCTGCTCTACGAGCTGTACGTTTAGTTTTGGAACTTGGTTCGTTGGATATTCACCTGGAGGCTGACTCTCTTACTGTGATTAATGCCATTTGGGTTTAGCTTCGTTTGGGCATGTGATTGCGGACATCCATGGTCTGGTGAGTTCTTATCGGTCCTTTACACACTGTCTGGTTAGGAAATTTGGAAGGAATTTTCGAAAGATGTAAATAAAATATATTAATTTTCATCTAATTTCATACTCTTTTTTTCTTTCTCTTTACAAATCTCTCAACCAAATTACATAAGGTTATCATGTTCGTTGAGATAGTAATTGAGTCGCTCATTGTTTGGCTTAGCTGGCAATTCGAATTTGGATGGAGGAAATTCCTGTGTCAGTATTGAGTGCGATTTTATTTAATATTTCTTGTTAAAATTGATGTATTATTGATTGATGTGTTGATGTTTCTGTATTGTATGTGATTATTACAAAGAGAAGGAACTCTCTCTTTATAGAGAGAAGAATGAAACATTGAATACCAACAAGACCCACTATCACCGAAAGCAACAAAAGGAATAAAGCTAAAGCTATACAATTTATATACTAAAGCTAAAGCTAATTATAAATTAACAATTATATATTAACATTTCTTATATCTTCTTGTCATATACAGATGTTCTGTTTTACCCGCTCTAAAAAAATATTACTTTACATTTGTTCACACATTATCTCTTCCCAACCCTAACCTAATATCAAATAACACAGCCTCTCATTTTCATGTTTTCAATTAATTGTAAGTTTTTTATGTTAGCATTTGTGCCTTCAAAAACTAATTTATTAACTTTATTAATTGATTATATAAATTGTTTGACATTTTATTTTGTATTTTGTATGTTATTACGGGTAATGTTATAGTTAATGTTACATATGATGTGAGCATAAAG